TATATATAATGTCTACTGCGAGTTTAATTAAAAATGCAAGGAAGGTGAACAACCCGGGCTCATTAAAATTCATTATTTATGACCTGTCCTTCAAAAACGTCAAACTTCTGCTTTTCTACAGGATTTGATTCAATTCTTACGATATTCTTTTAGTGACGATGTAGGAACAATTTAAATGGCTCATGGAAACCATTCCTAACCTCCAACTACACTTATTGAACTGTCACTTTCAGGCATGAAAAGCCGGCGATCCAGCCCGTATGGCTGGCAGAAGCAGTGACGGATCCAGAAGGGTGGGGCTGGGTGGCCATGCCCCCCCCCCCCAAAAAAAGTCTTAGAAATATTGTATATTGCAAAAGTAATATACATTATTATAACAAATATTTTTATTATTTATCAAAAATCTATGATCCCCCTCCCCCCTCCCCAATGATCGGCTGGATCCGCCATGGGCGAAAGAACTCATTCCGCAATGGTCCTCGGTGATGCTCAAGTGTTTTAGAACCTGTCAAAGTATCATCCACTGGCCTGAATGGACCATAATGAAGTTACACGTGTGATGGTTGCCCCTGATTGTTAGGCAACTCCTCAAGCACTGATATTCTGCAGGTCAAAAAGTATTCGTTTACCTGCCGAACACCAGTTCGTGAGGACTTCCCTAACAATCTGGGTCAAATGTCACATCTGTAACCTCGTTATATGAAACTATTGCCATGCATGTCTTCACCACAAATATGTCTGCACCACAAAAATGTCTTCACGAATACTGCAATAGCATATTGCAGTATTCGCGGATTCGAAGTACATCAGTTCTTTACATAACTAGGAATGTCAAAAACGTTTCTGTTCTCTAACGCAACACGTGAGTAGCAAGTATTTAATTGGCGAATGGCCTTGCTGTTGCATTACGACAGCTGTGACGTAAACAGTGGCGTAAGAGTATGAGAATTCAGTCTGTACGCACAGTACGAAAATAGGTGGAATAACACAATCAAATAATTGTCTTTTTCAGCCAAAAAGGAAACTGTTTCATTACTTTTGGATTTTTATCGAGTTCCGGAGAATCTAAAGAAACCATAGACACATGACGGATTCGGCGTTATTTTCTTTCAATATTTGCGTGTATCAAAAATTAATGATAAAGATTTCCCTCTGCGTGTTCATTGGCAAAAACTTCACCCCAACTTCAACCCCTTTAAATGCCCCAGAAATTTTTTACATTTATTCTGACACATCTGTATACCACCCAATCGCTCCGATATACGACTTCCAGCTAAAAACACAACAATTAGAACGTTGTAAGTTTTCATCATAGAAGGAGGCGGTGTTTTATTGCAAAATTTTAACATTTAAAAATTCAAAATTGAAGATAGAGATTTTTGCTTTAAAAAAAGTCTGTTCTAAAAATATCATCTCTTTAAGAAAGATTATGTAAATTGTTTTGGAGAAAAGAGTAGATTTTGCAAAATTTGTGTTTGATATTAAAGCAATTTTAAAACAAACATTTTTTTCAAAAACCGCTCCAATTTTTTTTTCACTCATAGAATAAGGAACACTTAAAAGAATGGCGTAGATCTCATTTTCGTTGAACTCTCTTAATATTCGAAACTATAAAATTTAGAAGTAATGCGAGGAAGTATGCAAAGTAGATCCTCTACTTTTCATGTTAACAGCATTGATCGTTCCTGTACCTTCGAACATCTGTTATCCTATGGCGTTGTAAGAGAAGCGCTTATTTTAGAAATTATTTCTAAAACCTTTTTACTTTCTCGCCCGTCGTACGAAGAGAAAATATTATAATCGTGCGCCGGGAAACGGCTATTCAACAGAAAAACTCTTATTGCCGAGCCCTGGTAACTAAAAAGGGAATAAATCTTTTTCCTATTTATTGTACATTACTTCCTCTAAAACGTGCAGTCAGAATACATGTTTGTGGGTCCTTGATACCAAAATAATCATTGACGGCAAATCTTCCGTCCGTCCTTATATCCGTCTATGACGCAAACACCTAAACCGTTCATCCGATTCTCTCCAAAATTGATATTGTCCGATCGATTAAAATGAACTCGAGGCCCTCTGAGTTTAAAACGGATATTTTGATGGGGGGGGGGGGTACATTACATGACGCTTCAAAAACATTTTCAAGCTTCTCTCAAAAATGGCTCCGAATTTTTTTTTTAGTGATCTTTGTCCTCCGCTCGCGCAAAGAACTTAAAATTGTGAAACTTCAATTTTTTTCGGCGCCATCCTTCAACTACAGTATTTAAAATTTTGATTTTCAGCTTTAATGAAAGCTGTTGACCTCAGGCAGATCTTGACGTAAGCCCATGTACACTTTTTTGAAAATGAGAAGGGTTTTATGCGTGAAATGTATGCAATTTTTAATCATTTTTTCAAAAACTGTTCGAATTTTTTTCTTCATATATTCTCGTTGTCTGTACCAAAGGACAATAAAATAAATTGGGCGCAGTAAACTGTATTTTCGAAAGTTGAAAAAAAATAACGTCAAAAGTATAATATTGAAGATGGAGATTTTCGCCTTAAATGAAATCTGTTCTACAAAATCAGATTTGTAAAAAGGTCAGATACCTTCATTAAAAAAAGAGTAGTTTTCGCGTATATAATTCCATATGAAGTGTGCTTTTTTTTTAATTTCAAAAACCTTTCAATTTTTTTTTGCTTTAGATAGAACAAGGACGCTAAGAATGGCGCAGGTCTCATTTTCGTTGAACTCTCGGAATGTTCGAAAATTCCATAGATAGAAATAATATGAGAAGTGCTGTTGTAGCTCCATTAGTTTTATTCCAGATATGCGTGCAAGTATTTAACTTCTGGCAAGTTGTATTATAATACATACTTTACACGGTAATAATCTATTTTACCCTGTATTCATATTATATGTATTTTTTTATGAATACTTTAGCCCACTGAAAGAAAATTCGAGGACGGATCTTCTAACATGTTCCTTCTGGACCTTTCTTTAAAATCTCAACGCCCCGCTCAAATCGTGCGTTACATACAAAACATAAAGAAATTACAACGTCGATTCTAGGATATGGAGTCTGGCTCAGGCTCGAACAGAAGGAAACTGGAAGGAGATACGTCCGACTGGCCCATGATGGAAACGACCATGAACTGGACGACGAGTATTTTGAAGATCAGCTGATGGCCAGGTTACGGCAAACGGTTATGTTGGTAGGATTGGAGGCTTCGGTGCTTTGGTGGGTGTGAGATGTTTGGGATGTTTGTTTGTATGGTGTGGCCCGGGGAAGTGAGTTTTTGTTATTAAGATAATATGTTGTAATTAATTAGTGTATCGTACTCGGAAAGAGATCAGTGGACTCCGAATAGATAAGTTTGAATGTTCGTGTATAAGGTTTTGTTTGACATTGTATTGTTGGGTTTCAGATTCTGGTTATGTGAAGGGCGAAACGAGAACTGTCAGAAAATTACTCGTGAAAACAAATTCCACTTGGTATAACAAATTACAGTAATGGCAGGGCTGCCGAAGCGTATTCTTAAGGTAATTATTTTTTATGTAATTTGTATGAGTTTTCATTGAACATACATTGTTTTAAAATAAAATGAAGCTTTGCAGATAATTGTGAAGGTCATTGGTTGGGAGAGTTCGGATTGTTAACTATACTTTCGCTTGTTGACAATTAATGTTGGGATTCAAAACATTGCTATAAAAGTATTAGTGCAGTTGTGTTAAAACATAAATGTCAATACTTTATTCAGTTCCACTTTTATCCTTATTCCAGTGTGGAGTGTATGTTGTAACTTTCCTAATTGTAATATGTTAGTGAAATGAACATTTTTTTATGCAAACACTGCATTTTGGTGTTATTGTAAATGTACATGAACGTTTATTTCAGGAAACTCAAAGACTAATGCAAGAACCTGTACCAGGTATAAGTGCAGTGCCAGATGAAGATAATGCTCGTTATTTCCATGTAATTGTTGCAGGTACTTATTGTTTTTACATTAATTTTCAATAATTGTAATTATGATGATAATTTAAACCACTGTGTTTTGTAAATTCAGTTTCACTCATGATTAGTTTCTTGCTTTATGTGTAGGTCCAGAAGGATCACCTTTTGAAGGTGGAATATTTAGATTGGAACTATTTTTACCAGAAGATTATCCAATGTCAGCCCCTAAAGTACGGTTTATTACCAAAATCTACCATCCTAATATTGATAAACTTGGAAGAATTTGTTTAGATATATTGAAAGGTAAAGTAACTCAATTTTTCAGCCCTACATATGTGTATAACATTCAGCTTTCTGGGTGTCCCTTGCTTGAACACCAAAAATTTGATATATCTATATTTTGATTTGGTATGAATGCTTTTGAAATTAAAACCTTGTTGATTATTCCCTTGATACATCAGAAGCATGATGTATATTTTTCCATGATAGTTCACAGAGACATTTTTGGTGCTCTTTAAATTATGCTTTTAGCAGTGATGTACGTGATATATTTGTAACTAATCAGTGGACATTTCTTCATTCTCTTATTTTTTGCCTGTTTTTATTTAGGATTTTCTTGTTTATTGTCATATTGGAAGGTAGTTTTAAGCATTTTTTAAATGCAAAATGGTAACTCTTTATTGCATAGTGTAACTGAGGTGAAACAAAATGTTTTTAGGTCATAAACATATTCTATAGATTTAATTATTAACTATTTTATATTACATATGTTTTATATCGTGTGTTCATGTCGCATCATGCATTGTTAGGCAGAAAACGCTATAGGTAACAAGTTGAAGTGACAGTTATCTAGTAGCATCGTGAATTGAAACTTCCTGTTGTCCTGTTCTGTTTCTGTTTATCAGAAGAGAAACGTTTTTAGAAAAAAAATTCAAACTAAAATAGAAATGATATTGCTTCATATCTTTTTTATCACATAAACTGTTTGAAAAGTAAGTACATTGTTTTTAAATTGTCAAATAGAGCATATTTTGTTATGTAACTCAAGTGCAATGTCATGTATGTACGGTATGCTGCAAATCTTTGATCCAGTCATATTGTGATATAGTTCTTAAGTTGAAATTATTTTTTAAATTTAAATAAGTTTATTTTCAGATGAGTTTATAAAACTCATCTTTCGACTGTAGGAGAATTTATCAAAACTGGAAATAATACATTTTTTGAACCATATGACAATGAGGACGAAATATTACTGTCAGCAATTTGTGGAGGTAAATGGATGACATTCTCAAAATTGATGAGCAGTTCTTGAAAAATAAAAGTTTCTCTTATTTCTCAAACGTTGGATGTTACCTATGAGATACCTGAATAAACGGAGAAAATTTACAAACCGGTAAAATCAATCCACACAGAAAAAAATTGTTTCCTTCAATTCCACATTTAGAATTCCTTTAAAAATATTAAAATACTCTAATCTAAATTTATTATAATATATTCTACATAAAATTAATCTTTTCTTCCATTTCAATGTTTTTGACCAATTTTTTAATTCTGTATGTAATCAAGAAACAATATGCAGAATAGCAGATTTATAAACTCTTATTGCATGATGTAACTCAGGAGTAACATAATTTGTTTTTGTGTTTTTCTCAAGCAATATTTACATCTGAGTTTTAAAATTACTTTTCTCTTAATTAAAATAAAAAAAATAACGAAGTATACTTATTGCAAATTTAAAAAAAAATCATGCAATAAATGGTTAATAGTGACAATGTTTACTTTTATTTTCCTACTAAAAATAATTATCTACTGTATAATATCTTAATCTATCGGTAACGATTATTATAGTATAATTCCTAGGCCAATGACCCCTTCTCAATCAGGTTTTTTGTCCAGTTTCCCTTGTCCTTTGAGCAAAAGCTGATATGGTCCCTTGTTTTGCTTCTGGACAGTATTGTAACTTCACCGTCTGCACCAAAGACATCTTATTGACTCATCATACAAGATTGTAATTGTATATGTGACTCAATAAATTATTATTATTATTATTATTATTATTATTATCTGTATATCTATTTATCATTTAATAAATGGTTAAAACTCTTATGTGATGTAAAGGGAGAAGTAAATTTCTGCAAGTTTTAGATTTTGGTATTTTTAATTGGCACCACCAGTATGTTAATGTGTCTTGAAATGTGTGGAGTGTGTGTAGCATGATTATGCATCCCTGTTCATTTGAGATATTTCACACATTTCAAATGCATGATTATTCTTTATATTTATTAGAGAATGTAACTAAATTTTGTAAGAAAAATCCTTTGTATTGTTGAAACCATGATTTATATAGGCAGGGCTGTTTTTTATTTTGCTAGCTGCTATTTATTTTCAATCTCGTTTATGTTATCACTTTCAAGTCATGCGGGCCAACTATAATCCAGGTTTGCATAATTGAAAATGGAATTCCAAATAAATTATCTTCTCCTTCAGGTATATAGGCACTGCTTGTTATGTCTCTCTTCCAATCTGGTCACTCTCTTCAGACAACCAGAATTTCTTTTGTCCTTTTGGGTGATATTGCAAGATTTCTTTTAGCAATGGGTAGACACTTATCCTTTCAATGTGTTGAATCCAAGAATTTCGGTTGTCAGTAAATTTCTCTTACAGACTACGCCTGCAAAGTACTTCACAATTTTTGAATTCCTTTTTCAGTCCATTTCCATATATATTCCATTTATATAAATAATGGAAAATATCTTGAAAGTCAGGATGTTGAGGACGATTGGAAACGTATAAAAATTGTTGTTGAGAATATAGCAATGCAAGTGTGTCCCCACCCATACGTACACACACCCACACGCAGGCGCACACACATACACACGCAGCAGCTTCTTGGAAGTAAATAGATTTTCCACTGCAGATTGTGTGAAGTTGATTTTTACTTTTCCATATATGTACGTATATACGGAGGAATATAGTAGTATATGGACAGTTATGTAATGCTGAGGAAAATGGATTTCGATTTTTCAACGGAAATTCACGTTTTTGTGGTCCCCAAATACCGAAAAGGTGTTTCTTTTAATTATTTTTTCCCCAAAAAACGTCCGTCCGTCTGGTGTCTGTTACCATTACTAGCGCCTAAACCATGCGTAGGAGTTTTTCCAAATCAAAAAAACCTGTGACGATCTGACTCGACTCGAGGTATTGCGATTTTGAAAATCTATCTTCAAAATTTAGGGGTACTTTACATTAAGACTCCCGGACATTTTCTGAAAAACAGCTCCAAATGTTTTCTTTAAACTTCTTGTAGAATAGAGTAACATAAAAAGGTGGTATAGGTCCGATTTTCACGGTTAACGTTGAAGTGAAAATTTCAAAAGTTTTTTTTTGTCTACCTACAACTGCAAAATTGAAGATTGAGATTTTCCCTTCAAATAAAATGTTCTCCATAGTGAGTTCTTTCGTGAAGGTCATGTACATTTTTGAAAATTTAGTAGTTTTCGCTCAATATTGCGTGCAATATGTGCAGTTTTAAAAAATTACAAAAACAAGATTTTTTTCAAAAACGGCTCCAATTTTTTCTTTAAACTTTTGTTAGGGATAATGCTAAGTGTACTCTATAAGATGACATAAATACCTTATTGCTCATTTCTTTTGTTTTTTCAAAAATTACAAAAATGTAATTTTTTGACTTTCCTTTCATGTCAATATTTATATTAGCAGCGATTTGTTTACATTATTGTATTTATGACCACAAGTGCATTAAATAATGTCATGTTAATTAAATAATGTCAGCTTGTTTCTCGAAAACTCGACCGTTTCCTGTGAAAACTAGGTCAAAACTTGCATTTTCTGAAATGCTCAAACCCATTTTCTCAAAAACGACTCCAATTTTTTTTCTCCAAACATTTCAAACAGATAGTGCTAATTGCATTCTCTAATATGACATTACACAAATGTAAGTCTTTTAAAAGATATCTCACGCCATTGATGTGCAAATTTCCAGCAATTTGTAAACACTATTGTATTTGTAAGTTAAAGTACTTAAAATGACTTCAAATGAAGTTTTTCAAAAACTCAAAAATTTTCTGTGGAAATAAGCTTCAAATTTCTAATTTAGAGTAGCGTTGAAACATCAGTTTTTTAAAAATGGCTCAAAATTTTTTAAAGAATGCCATTTATGACGAGGTTTTACTGTTTTTTAATATTATTAAAATAATATTTCCACTCCACAATTAGGAAACCAAAAAATGAGGAAAGGGGCAAAAAAATGAACTTTGGGCAGTAATAGATGGCAGCAGGCAAGAATATGTGGCAAGTTCAAATAGCTAACCGAGACCAAAAGAAATAGAAAACTAATACAGGAAAGTCTGTGCCATTCTGTAACACCACTAGTTTCTTAATTTTATACCACATTTTGGAGAGATTTAATAAATCAGTAGTCACTGTGTACATCCCATTCTCTACATACTTGTACATTAGTGAAGAGTCTGTTTACTTTCTGGTCCTTCGTAGCAGAGGCGGAATTTTGGATCTTTTATTGGGGGGCAAAGGATCTCCCCACATAAAACTGTAAAAAGTTCTCATAAAACAAATGGTATATGAGTAGTTGCACTATAATTCTAACATGAACATAAAATTTTGAAAGATTTCTTAGCCTTCATCCCACCACTGACATACTTCTACAGCCAGAAACATTTTTTTTTTTTTATTTTATTTTTTTGACAACTTAACACTTTTATTTCATTGAAAAATATGAAAAACCAAAAAAATATTTGTACTATCAGAAAAACATTTTTTGATATTTTCTAAGTGCCAAATTCAATTGCAAAGCTTTTTCTAAAAAAAGAAAATAACAAAAAATAATTTTACTGTCTTAGATCACTGAAACATGCTTAAAAGAAATCTGAAAAGTTCTTAAAACACAAATCGTGAATTTTTCATATTTCTTTTAATGCTGAACTGTTGTTAAAAATATAAAAACCATTTTTACCATGTTAAATCACAAACACTTTGAAACAATTCTGTGCATTTATGTGAGTGTTTATTATAGATTTATAATGAAAATTAATCTGATGTCCAAAAAAACAATGAAACCTTTTTCATAATGATACAGACATTATGATTAAAACAACATATTTGCTTTTATAATAAAAGGAAAGTGAAATTACTATATTAACATTGAATATAACAGAAAATATTCAGTGAGGAAAACAGGTTTGCTTTTTGCTCAGTCTGCACATGGCATTAAACAAACATCATACATTAGTTACAAAATATCTTACATTATAATGGAAAACATATCC